TAGTTTGGCAAAGCACTGGCCAGGTACCACTCCACAAGTTCCGCAAAGGAAGCTTGCAAATTTATTTTACAATTAACTCAAAGACAACTAAAAATGCTTATCCAGGTCCCGTGGTGTTTGCTGCGGCAAGAACAAAGGTTATTTTCCCCTGGGTTACAGAATATAGGAACCGTATCTCATGAAATACTGGATATTTTTATAGATTATGTCCATCTCAAAACATTGGTAATGAGTAACAAGCGAAGGCCATAAATAGTGCTTTGGTTCTCACCAGATTCCATTACATAGAGTTAAATACAACATCTGTTAAAAAAAAAAAAAAAGACACTCAGTTGCAGGTCTCATTGTATCCACCCAGTGAGTCATTAGTAGAGAAGACTGAGGAAATGTAAGGTTTTATTTTAAATTACAGTTTTAAAATACAGTATTATCCACCCTGCAGTGCAATTGTCTTGAAAGCTCATATTGAAAGGGTCATCTATAAAATGAGGTTTAATAAAAACCTGAACCATCCAGGTTCTGATCTGGCCCAGATAAAGCACTTAAGGCAGCAATCTGAAGCCTAGGTGGATAGCTCTACTAGACTCCTAGTTAGGAAACACAAATCTGAGCCCCAGATTTTCAAAGCTACAGCTAGCATAAGCCCTAGCATGAGTTCTGCAAGCCTTTCTTCTTTCTAATGCTCACCACTGTCTTGAGTAAATTTGTTCCTACTTTGCTCATTATCATATATAAAAACCGCAAAGGTAACGCACGCAACACTATACGCTCTTCAGAACTGGAAGGTACACATATGTGGAGTAATGTATTTCTAAAAGATTTCTTTCAACTTGTATAAAACTCCCTTAATTGCCCCAAAATAGATTTAAGCATTTTTTGACTTCTCCCTTCTCTTTTAAATGTCTATGTTATTTGGAATTTCTGAATAATCTTATGACTAAACCACTTATGAAAGTTGTGTTATTCATTAAAATCCTACTACAGCAGCTGCAACCCCATCTTTCTGCAGATCCTGCTGTATCTTGACACACAGACCATAAGCTAGACCAACAGCACTGAGCATACTGCATCTGTAGTACTTTGAGAAGTTCATTTAATTATGAACAATAATACATTAATTATTATATATTAAAATGATATATTTATAAGTATACAATTATTATACTTATATAATTATAATCAATACTATTAATTATCATATATTAATATAATTGGCCTGTTTAGAAGTGCGTGGTATGATAATTTTATTCACTTTTTTTTTGGCGTTAAGTCCCCATTTCTTTATTATGACACAATCTCTATCAGTAAGCACAAACTTCTGCCTCAAACCTCCAGAAAACCTGATGCACTAAACTGAACAGCAATGAAAGAATGCAGTTGTTCAAGGCTTTAATCTCTAACATTGAGTCTAACTTCAGATTATAATAAATCTTAATTAGAACACATAAGGACTGCAGACAACATTGTTCAGATCGAGACACATTACATAAGGAAGAGTGACCTGTTGCAAGCTTTTTTGAGGACTAATGGGGCAAAATGTGGCTGGTAAGTTGTGTCATTTCTCATTTTAAAGCATGTGATTTCATCCACAAAATGTCTTGTACTTATACAAAAAACTGCATTACGACTGAACATAAGCATTTACATTCTATACCCCATATAAAAACAGGCTAACTTTCCTTCTCAGGCTTGCACTGACACCTACTGGGGAATATTTGTAAATCTGAAACCCATAGCCTTGAGACATAGGAAGCTTGACAACTCAGGAGTGAACTATATATGATTCAATTAATTGGCTGATTATGCCATGTATTTGCTATTTAATTTGACTACTGCAACAACTCCCATTTTTGAAGAAAGATTTAACAAGCCATAAATTATCAAAGACGCAACGTTCCAGCTGTAATTACGGAGTTTTTCTATAAAAAGTATTACCTACTGTTAGCATAGAAAGCAGCAAATAAATCAGCTTTCTCCATCCTCCTTAAGATTAAAAAATGTGATAGGCCTTAGATTCACCTTTAAAACAAGGCAGTTAAAAATGAAACAAACCTGTATTTCTTCAGTTCCTCAGTTTGTTATTACTCCTAAACACAGCAGCAGATTTCATACAGCAGTTCCAAGGAAGATACCAGTTTCCTGCTATGTATTCATCAGAATAGAAAGACTAAGAAAATATTCCAGTGACTACACAACATCCATGCCCCCTTCCAGTTCCAAAGAAGTTGTTAAACCTACAGTTCAGATAAACTAAACAGCGCTAATAAGTAAGCAAAAAGCTATATGCATAGCTGGGTACAAAGACAGATCGTGCAACTCCCTGGCCATACTAGAAGTTAACTTAAGTGCTGAGGACCATTTCCAGCTCCTATTGGAATTCGATGCAAGTTTCCATAGAGCTTAACAGGGATTAAATAAATTCCTAAGATTTTTAGAACTATGAAATTCAGTCATGTAAATATTACATGTAGAAGGCAAAACACTTCCTTTATGCACCAATGACATAAAACAAGTTTTTAAACTATTTGTTCTTTTATTTCTCCCGAATGGTAGAGACTATTACATAAGAATTTAAATCTTACAAAGAAAGTCCCACTGCAGAGTACTAGTGTGTCCAGACAGACCATAGTCCCACCTTGCTAAAAAACTGCTGAAGATAGGAATCTCTTTTATCTGTCAGATGTATTCTGTTTTGAGATAATGTTAAGACACATCAGGTTTGGGTTTTTTTTTTTTTTTTTAAGCATTTGGACAAAAAGAATAGGTTTTCCTGTAAATGTCGGCAAGTTGCTCCAAAGACAATTAAGCATTTCCAAGTACCTCAAAACCTACAGCATATCATATAAAAAAAAGTGGCAATTACTGAATAAAATAATTCAGTAATGGATAGTTTTCAGGTAGTCCCCACAATGAATAAGAGTGGGCCAAAAGGCAGATACAGACTATGAAGAAAAGTGTTTTCAAATAACCTTCTGCATAAAAATACCTGTATAATTCTGAAAGAGGAACACATTTTGAGTCTTAGTATTTAGAAGCCTTCCAAAGAATCAGGAGCAGACATCCCAGAAGATTTTGGAAATACCGCTTTATTTTCCAGTGAATATCCAACTTGCAACAATTCTATCATTGCTTAAGAGCCCTCAAATTGACGAAATACTAAAATCTACAGCTCCAGTGCACAGTTAATTAGGTATCTAAATCTTAACAAAAATTATCAGTGCAAAAATAAAAATTAATTCATTATGCAGTTAAATGAATTTTGCTATAAAGACATTTGGTCTTTGAGCACATATACATCAAATAATCTGGTAAGAGTGAAGCCATTTTCAGTCTGTGCTGAAAACAATCAGAACTGTTCCACACCCAATTCTAAAGACAGGCAAGAACTAACTTCTTCTCTCCAAATGAAAGTCTGAGCTTACTTACAACATTCATCATGGGTACATAAGCTGAAAAATATTAGAGGTCACTTGCTATTTAAATAGGGGTTGTTCTAAAAGAGGCTTTCCTATCTTTCATGTGTGGGATACTTTTGAGACATCTACGTTTTTTCCATCCACAACAGAGAATTAACAACATTCCAGCGTGCCCCAGTGTCGGCAAGTCCTCTTTTCAGTCCAGATACACGATGATGATTGATGGAGCTGTTGGGCCTACAGTAGCAGGCAGAGCAGCTTGGCAGGAATTCAGTGTTATTGAAAGAAATCTCAAATACTTATTCCATCTCCTCTACTAACTTTAATCACACTATCAACATGCTGCCAGGAATGGAGCCTTGACACCAAGCCATAAACTTACACAAGCAACCATTGTTGGGATATTACTGTTGCAATACAGGTAAAGGGTAAATTCTGTTTATTTTTACCTGTTTCCATTCTATATTGGACACCAGCTAAATTATGGAAAGATATTTCCTGTACTAACGGTTAGCTTGCAGCAAATTGCATTAAGGTACTATGTCTCATTTCGCTTGGTTAATGAACTGATTAAGTTAACTTCTTCGGTTACACTGCTGTTAACTGCAAGTTTTAAATAAAAGCAAGCAATGCAGGAGCTTCACATACCCCGTAAGAGTAACAGTCAGTACGAAAGCAGATCAGTACTACAGGCATTTTACCACTAATCTGCTCATTTGTTATGCTGATAAAGAAACAAAAATCTTTCCTCAATTGCCTTATAAAATTCTGACAAGCTTATCCTAAGTAAACCAACAGCATGTCAAATACTTCAGGTAAATACTGTACTAGCCACAAAGCTAATACAAAGACCGATATGTTTCTCATGATTACTTCTGAGCTGGTTTTGGCTTTGCTTGGAACAGTAAAGCTTAAAAAGAGAGGCCTGAGACATTTACAGGGAGAGGAAAAAACCCTATTGTTGTCCAAGCTCACTTAGCCATTTTTATGTTAGCAAAACCTATCTAAATCTCAGATATACTTCTTAATACTGACCATACAACCCAAAAGTTGGAATTACAACTGGATTTAAAATTCTGTTGAGATCTTTCATGGTTAAGACTTCAAAGTAAAGTATTCCATAAAACAGGTTTTCCTGAAATCTATGAACGGGATTTATGGTTTTCCCAGTGAATTCTCAGCTAACTATGGCTAATGTAACCTATCACACCTACTTTTTGGGAAAGGGCTGTGGCTGCACACTGGGACAGTTAGTATTACATTAGTCTCAGTTTTCCCAAACGATATGATACTCTCTGCAGATGGCAAAGAATTCCAGTTTGCAACTCCCTGAGCTGATGTTGTCACACAATGAAATTTCCGGTTCGACCTTCCAACAAACGAAGAAATACTGGCATTCTAGCTGCCCTGAACAAAACAAGCAGAGATAGGCACTTAAGTTGAAAGTATGCAAACCTTTTCTTCCCATACCAGATCTGTAGAGGAAATTCTCCTTTCTCCTTACGCGTTTCAGCTCTCCAAAAGAATCTCAATTTAAGCCACTGAACATTGGCACAAACCCAGCACTATCAAAAAAGAAAGCTCTTAAAAAGAAACGTATTTGGCCAGTTCCTTCTCCATCTCAGAATACTGCTCTTTGAGGCGCTCCATAGCTTTTCTGTGCTCTTCATCCACCTCTGCTCGTTTATTTTGTTGTTCTTTCATGAACTCCTCCCAGTGGGCTATGCGCTTCTCTTCACGAGCCATCAGTTTGTCTGCCTGAAGCTGAGAGGGGGAAAGTGAGAAGTTTTAACAGTCATTTCCAGATTAAAACAGAGGGTTTAATGAGATCTACATTATGTAAGAGTATCAGAGACACTGGGCTTTTACTTCAGTAGAGTAAAGTGAAACTAGCAAGAAAACATATGAAAAGGTGAAACTAGAAAGAAAACGTATTTTTTATAAAGTATAGACAATCCAAAACAAATGATAAAGTGTCTATGATACTATTAAAGTGATAGCATTACCAACAATAGCTTGTCTATGCTACAGTCTGGTGAAAGTTAAATAAATAAATGGAAAGATACTTTCGAGTTACCAGTTTGCCTAGTACACTTCTGTTAGTTTCTAAAGATCATACTTGTTGCATTATTTGCTCCTCTGATTACTGACAATGTTAGAAGTACTGTAAGCAGCTGATATAAATCTGTATCATCTCACAATGATTTTCTTTTAAAATGAACTTGTGATTTTGGGAACATGGTATTCAGTGCTTTTAGTCCCTTAGTTACTTAAAAAAAAAATAGGCAGGAAATGGACACTGCTGCCTTTTTTTGTTTCTCTTCTTCTTGTGTGTTCACACAGAAAGAAGCAGCCTACTGACACAGACAGACTCAGGGAGTCCGCTGTTCTGAAAATGACCAAAAGAAAAATAATTTAAATAAAATGCATCTGGTTTTTGATTAAGTGATCTTAAAGAACCAAGAATCTGTATCTAGTACAGCAAGCAGAGGCAGGTCTGTGTTATATATGATACAGATTTAAATGCACTGGAAGCATTACCACAGCTGATTTATGAGGCAAATACCAGGCCCATTATATTTCATATTTACGAGTGCTAGACAAAATAAAATTTTTAGGGAGTTATCTATGTCCATTATTTAGGCATATATGCATTACTACAGCTTAAAGGATCCACTTCAACAGTCAAGACAACATTTGAGGTTTTATGTTGTAAGTAATTGTAATTAAAAAAGTAATTAAAAAAAAAAGTAATTACAATGTTCTACATGTAAGTAGAATGCTTCTATGTTTCACAACAAATTCTGATGGTTAATAAAACATGTATAAATTGTGTCAGCCAATCCTTCAGCATGTTGCTCCTCTTTCTTTGACATTTGCTACTTTCCCCTTAAATGTCTCATTTGTTGAAACAAAAGTATTTTTTACATTCTTGAATACATTTTTTAAAACTAGAAACAAAGCACATTTCTATGTGCTTTCTATTTTACTACAAGACTTATGTTCAGCATAGTGATCAGATATTAGTCTTGATGAAAAGCTTCTAACACAAAAAGGAAAGA